ATTTGCTTAAATTTTATTTTATTGGTATAGAAAAGTTAGTAAGATAAACTTTTTTTACAAGGATTGGTCAAATTTTTTCCAACAGTCAAGGTAGAGGAAGGTTCAATTGAAGCTAAGTTTTCGCAAATGAGGTTAGTTTCCTATGTTTCTTTATAAAGAAGGGGGACATCATGGAAACGTAATTTATGGAAGGAGACAGGCCCTCAAGCTACCTTCCAGAGAGAAGGAAGCTGAGACTCCTGAACTCAAAGCACTGTTGCCACTTCTTAGAAACAAAATATTATGTTTTGTGACCAGGACTTCTTTTTTTTTCAATTTTTCCCTGAAAAAGTCAAAGTTTTCTTAAGAGGAAAACATTTTTGCTTCCTTCAAGCCAGCTTTTCTTCCAGTTCCATGGATTACAGTTTGTCATTTGAATTGCCGCTACTAAATTTTTTTCCTGGAGATATTTTTCACATAACTGTTTAGATGGCAGCATTTTCATAGAAACTTTCCTCAAACAAGCAGGTATGGATCTTGAGCAAAGTGATACTGTTTGCCTACTAATGGGAAAGTTCCTTAGCAATTTGAGGACTGTACTGAATTCATTCCTGTGCTTATATGAGCACTGACACAACTTGATGTTGGCTGCTTCGGATCAACAGCATAAAGTTCAGGGGTGACACCCTGGCCCCATTAAAGGTAGAACCAGTACGGTCGTTGTCCTCAGAAAAGTCAGGACAACAACTCAAACACTTATCTAAACTTTCTAAATTACTGGACTGTGTAAAGCCGGTTTCACAACAGTCAGCTTTGAGTTTTCTAATTTTATCTCTCAGGTCAGAGATGCATTTGCAAGAGCTCCTCTCTCATGGCTATTTTCCAGTGGGACAGATTCTGTCATTTTGTGGTTTATGGGATTGTTTCTCTGTACTGGATAGAGATTTCTTCTAAAACGCCCTATGTTCACTGCCTTACATGTCACTCTTGCTGCTCCTTGCTAGGCTCAGGTCTTTCATGTTTAATACCAAGGATTTTTGAACTGTGGTATGCATATTCCCAACAGCACAGGAACCACTGTAAAATTGTCTCATTCTTGCTAGGGCGAGCACCCATCTCCCACAGCAGGCAGGGGGCTGGGTCCTGGGCTGGGGGGATAGTGGGGAGCTGGAGGGTTTGGAGGCAAAGCGTTAGGAGAGAGGAAGAGAGGGCATGGCCAAATTTTGGACCCTGATTTTAGCAATTGAGAGAGGGGCCTATGTGCTGCCAGGAAGGACAGAAGTCCTTGCTGCTGACCAGCACATTCATTGGTAGTATCAAAGTTTGGGGAATCCTTGATGCGGGTTTTCAGTGCCTTGGGTTTAGATCTTGCATATGCCCATGTGAAGATCCCGGCCTGCCTCACCTGCCTGCTTTTTACCTCAAACCAAACAGCTGATGATGCATTTACTCACTTTGGAGTCGGCTACTGAGGTATCAGTTGGAAAGCAAAGCAAAAGGTAATTAAATGCATTCTTAAAACTCAGTTACCAAAGATAGCTAAAGCATAGTGATGGTTTGTGAGGGCTCTTCCTGTTGCCTCTGTTTTACCAGCTTTGCCTCTGTTTTACCAGCCCTGCTTTGCTTTCACATTGTGCCTCCTGGGTCTATGCTAGCAGTGCCTTGCTGTGTTGCTATCAGGCTCGCTTATTACATCTATGCAAACAGATCCTTCAGCATATATGTTCTTCTCCCAAAGCTTTTAAATTGGTATTTTTTTTAATTGCCAGTAATGATGTCAACACTCTTTTTCCTTTAAGCATATTGTAAATGTTTCTTCCTGTTGTCTCGGTAATCTTCTTCTCTTCCAGTGATCGGGGGGGAAGGATCACCTATGAACAAAACATTTTTACCTGTGTAAATTTGAAGAGATATTTTTCTACTGTGTAGACATAAAGAAACAACCCCTACTCCTGTCCCACGTCCCCTTCTTTGGGTCCTGAAAATACGTAAACCTTTCCTTTTCCCCTTTTCCTTTTTCTTTTCCTTTTCCTTTTCCTTTCCTTTTCCTTTTCTTCTCTATTCTATTCTATTCTTTTTTTGGTCCAACCCTGAAAACACTAAAACACCACCTTATACACTGTGAGTATTTCTGCTGATCACACTGTTAAAAAGTTAGCTTTACACACCAGCAGCTCTCTGAAAACACGGCCATGCTATTCACCTGCATAAACTGCTTAGGTATCTAAATGATGTCCAAGCTGGGTCTTGATGCTGAAGGACCAAAAAACCCAGCTGCATTATAAACCTCTGTCTCGTGCTCTGTGCAGGGGGACTTCAGCATTCTTTAGGTAGGAATGCTATCATGACACTAAATGTTTGAATTATTTATAAAATAATCAGGTGGGTTTATATATAACTTTTCATTGAGTATTATTCAACAAATTACATCCTTAGAAGTATATCTCACAGCAATGTTATGTTTCCAAAGAAATATTAAAAGCCTGACGACTCAAGAGGCAAAAGTATAGTGAGTTAAAAGGTCTTTTGTGTTTATGTCTTTTTAATCTGCATTTTTATTTTGCTAGTCAGTCTATTGCACTTTTTAATTTTTCTTCTTGCATAATATGTTGATTGACTGTTTTAAAGACAATTGTGCTAGCCAATAAAAGCCAAAGCGATGAAGAATTTTCCTATGTTGCAGTATGGCAAAAGCTGCTTAGCCTGTCACTGTTGAACTCTACAATGTTACTTCTGTAATATATCGTCTTTATAAAATGTAATAAAGAGCACAATGACATGGCCCCAGGTTCTCCAGGCTACTGTTGCTGCTTGAGAGCCTAAGAAGGACCTCCTCTCTCAGAGTCGTCTAGCCATCTTCAGCCAGAGTTTATTAAGCTCTACTGGCCTCCACTAATCTGCTGGAGGCAATTAAAATGAACATAGGATGAACTACTGTGGATGATGGCTGGAGGCTGCAGAAATTGCAGAAGGGCAGGTGGCAGAGCTATCCCAACCAGAATCCGCCGGAGGATAAGAAGGTGTGGGAGAAGATCCACTTGCCTGTCAGCCTCACTCTTCTCCTCTTGCCTCAGTCCGTTCCTGTCTTAACCTACCCTTTGCAGCTTCACCTGCTTTTCAAATGCTTTTAAGCATTTTCCAGAAGTGTTTTTAATAGGATAACCTAGCGACATGCCCAAGTTTGAACCGCAGCTCAGCGACATCTCTTCCCAGCCAGCACAAAGGAGTGGTTTCACTGCCTTCCCAGGCTGGGGTGTGACTGCAGATAGCTTAGCTTGCTGCTCTTCCTCACCGTGTACTTCACGAGACTGACCAAGAATTTGTTCAAGGGCTGTTCAGGCACAGAGACCCTGCCAAGGCCTCATACATTACCAACTTGGCTCTTCTGGGCTAAGTGCCCTATTTCTTGGGCTCTGACCAGTGTGGGTTCCCATAAGCCGCGGTGCTGGCCCACCTCAAGCACCATGAAACCTGTGAGCAGCGAGGAGCAATTGTAGCTGATGGGGACAACGGTTGAAGTTGGCCTTGCCACAAATTTTGAATGATACTCTGTGGCGACACAGCCTCTCCAGGCCCATAACTTTGTGCAGGCAACTCTCTACACAGCTTTTGA